GTTGGTTTGAACTTTATTAATATACCAAATGTTTTATCTATATTCGTTCATATAATGGTATTCTGTATAGCTGTTGACAAGTCTCTGTATTACTATAAATTATATATATCTTATGTATGAATGAATGTTTGTTTAACTGTAGCAGCTCATGATCAGCTGCTCTAGAATGAAGCCTAAGTTCTGTTTTCCTGCAATTCAACAAAAATATACCTCGAAAGTTTACACTGTGGTAAATTCCAGGTCTTCATGTGTTTTTTAGCATAGATTGGTAGTGAGGAAACAGGAGTGTTTGATATGCTTTAAGTAGAATATCTATTTCAACATGATTTGTTATTTTAGAGATGAAAGTGATGAAGAAAGACATATAGCAGCATTTAAATTACAAACAGCATATCGTAAAAGACAAGAAGTCCGAGAACAGCATGAAATGAAAGATGTTTATCAACCAAAAACTAAGCGTAAATTTAAAGGTCATAGAAATGCTAGAACTATGGTATGATATTTGCATATTATAATAGTACAGAACTAAGTCAATTATATATTGATATTATTGTAAGAGAATGTAAAGAGGTTTTCAGAACTTTTATGTGTTTCTTGAATATTGATAGCTTTGATCGGCATCATTCCAAATTTTCAGTCAGACTGTCTTGCAATTTCAGTAAAAATATATGTTCTATTATATGTCATGTTGCTTTAGCAATGATACAATAGGACATTGATAATATACTACCAGTGCTAAAGGAGCATGCTCATATGTAAGAACCTTTGTCATATACATGAAATTAGTGGAATTGCAAGAATCAGAAATTCGACTGCAGATTGGAATGATGCCAGCAATATCCTCGATACACATACAAAATCTAGACCAATTGTTTTATATTTATTTTATATATTAGCATCATATTTCAAGATATAGACTCTGGTTTTTTTGCTTCAGATAAAAGAAGCTAATTTTTGGGGAGATGATTTTGTAATGAGTGGTAGTGATTGTGGTCATATATTTATATGGGACAGACATACAGGAGAAGTTATTATGTTATTAGAAGCTGATCGACATGTTGTCAACTGTTTGCAACCTCATCCATATGATCCAATATTAGCCTCTAGTGGTATTGATTATGATATTAAATTATGGGCACCATTAGAAGATACTGCTATATTTGATGTGGAAAAAGCCCAGGAGGTGAGAGTATAAAATATTATAGTGTCAACATAGATGTTACTGATGAGAGATGAAGAACTCAGATACCAGTGACACATCTCTAACAATTCAAACAATTTCTTGTAGGTTGCAAGCAACAATTCTTTTTAAATGGAATTCCCACAGGAACCAGGGATTTAGGTCATACAAGAATTAGGAAGCATAAACTAGGAAACAAGAATGTATTGTCTCTCTCTGACATTTTGATAGCTTGGTTCTTAATGGATTTGCAACTATTTTCTTATCAAAACTATAATAACCTTTCTGATAAACTATAACTATATATGTGAAACCAAGTTCAATCTGAAATTGTATGACAAGGGAATTATCTACCTAGCAAATTTGCATCTGAAAATCATGGGGTCATATAACTTTAAGGTGCCAGCTTTGCAATGTTTTTATCTCAGAATTTTACTAGTCAGAAGGTAGTTTGGTTAATTAAATATAAATTGTGTATTGAAAGGTAATTAGAAGAAATGAAATAATGTTAGAAGAAACAAGGGATACAATAACTGTTCCTGCAGCTTTCATGTTAAGAGTTTTAGCATCTTTGAATCAAATTAGAGCAGGTAATATACAATAACTTGATATTTAAAAACATTCAACGACTAACATCTCTTGGCAAACATTATGCCAATTTCAAATTTGACTTTATATGATATGCAGTTAAATCAATCATCTTGGAAGATAAATCATTTGATCTGTTAATGAAAAGTGGATGATAGATGTCAATCATTTATTAAACTATCAGGCTATTAGGTAGTAACTGCTTTGAATTTAATAAACCTCACCTAACTTAAATAGCTTGACTGTTTGATTATATAATGGATAAGTATAACTCCTGATTGTTAAATGGGTAATTTCTGGTAATAAGCAAAGGTTTCAATTAAATTTTTTAGGTAGAAATGTTACCAACCAGCCTGAAAATAATGTAGAAAGTACCAGTGATAGTGAATAATGTTAAGATGTATGACCAATGGGAAGAATTGAATTGAAATTGTTTAGATATATTGAAATTTTGTTCAGGAAAGTTCTGTGCCAATTTTTTGCTGATTTATAATTGAATAGCTTTAATTTTAAAAACAACATTTAAAGTCTTATTCTATATATAACAACTGATATGCTTATTTTTCCCAAAAGTGCAGTCTGTTTTGTACGGAAACATGGAGGGGACACGAGAAAAATAAAATATAACTCGTGGTCACGCCTTTGCATCTCATGACCACGATTAAGCTATTTTGTGGCCAGGACTTATCTATTTCATTGCCAGGACTTATCTATTTCGTGGCTACGACTTAGCTATCTCGACTTGCTGCCTCCCATTTTGTATAAATATAAATCTTACTTACTGGGAAAAGGTGGACTTTTAAGGATGTATTTTGATACTGGAATGTCATATAATGATATCGACATCATTCTGGCTCATAGACACAGTATCATTTTGAGTGTCAGACGAGATACTAAGTCGTGGCCACGAGATAAGAATTTTTTTTTATTCTGTATTATATGTCCCCTCTATGCTTCCGTAGTTTTGTCAACTGGCAGTTTGAAAACATGATTTCACAGTTGTGAAATGTGGAAGTTTTATGGGTATTATGGATTCTATATGTATCGGATTCTCATTTAAAGGGGCAGTATGAACAATTTTTATTATCAAGATTGTTATAAATTATACTTGAAAATATTTAAAAAATGTACTATTTACATCATTCTATGTATCTACTTGATCAAACTGGAATTGTTTAATAAGGTTTAATTAACCACTGAGTGTAATAATTGTTGATTAATCAGCTTAAACTACTTCTGGTTTTGGGTCTCATAAAGACTTGATATTTTTAGTTAAAATTAAGAAGAAGAGGAGTCAATAATTCGTTTATTTTGCCAAATTCTGTACAGTAGTACCAAAAAGCATAACAAACTTTAAAAGTTTACGTTAACCTTTCAGATAGTTACGGCATCAATAAATTAGCAGTTGGATTTTTTTAGTTTAAACTTTCAGATAAGTTAAGTGACACATGTCTCTAGATGTAAAGTTTTCAAAAATTTGAGCAAAAAATGTTCGACCTACTAAAAAATCAAAATGCCCCTTTGAGAAATAAAGTGAACACAAAAATTGGCAGAGATAAGTTTTTGTTGCATATATTTTTTGAATATTTAGGTGTGATGTGATCCCCCTTATATTCCATGGAACCATCTAATATTATTAAGGGTATGTCCAGTCTTATTGAAATCAAACCAAACTTTCGTTCCGTTTTTTATTAGCTTTTATTTTTGATATAGCTACTTCAGTTGGGGTCGACCTGGCTCGATTATGTCTGCTTTAACCATTCAAATTTCTGCCCTCTCCAGCGCTAGTATTTGGTGACGCAGCTTAGTTCAAAAGGTTAATTTGACTAATGTTCAAATGGGCTGTCGTTAGACCCCAACTGATGTGGTTATATTAGAAATACAAAATTTCAAAAATGGTATAATTTTAATTTAATTTAACAGACTGGGGTATGTTGAACATCTTACTAATATATATTTTTTAGTTGTTTATCTTAATATTACTGTTTTTGTTTGTTCTATTTATTGTTCTAAATCAATAATAATATTTGTCTCACTATAAAAGAAGATAAATAGTATGTTTAATATTTTGCTATATGAGTGGGTGTGTATTAGTGTACCTGTAGAGGGGTTTTCAACCTTTTTCTTTCTATTACACCTTTCACTGAAAGTTTTAGGATCCTTGATCGATTGCATTACCTTCCCTCCCCCTATAAATCCTTTCTTTTTTGTGATTTTCTCTCAGGTTTTCTTACAAGCTTTTTCATGTTGAAGAATATAGTGTGATTGAATAGAACAACTTAAATTATAATTATCAAACAATTTTATACTAGACTATAAAAAAGAGCTTCATTACCCCCCAAAAATTTAAAAATTACCCCCCTTGGATATAATTACTTCCAGGTTGAAAACCCCTGGTGTAGACCCTATATTTACGTGTGAGGTGAAATATTTATCTATTTGTTTGTTCTGTTATTTATTTAGTTGATAGAGAAGACTTGTTGACATATTGCTTTGCAAATTTAATTGCAAGAAGAAAAATTTTGAAACCGATCCCTTAGTTTGTAAATCTAATCTTGATGCTTCAAAGACCTCCTGGAAAGAAGATTTGGGTAGTGTTAGGGGTGATTGAAAGTAAAAAGTAGTGTAAGTCTGTGTTTATGGATATAGAGGCAGTAGTCACATCTCTTTGCCACTTTGTAGAGTTAAGGCTCTGACTTTATTTGATTTCTTGCGTATAAGGATTCAAATATTACAAGATATGAGATATTCATATGATACAAATTAACATTACAAGATCAACTGTTTTTGATCAAGTGTCATTTGTTTGCAAACCTTTGAACAATGTAAGTTGTAGACAAAGTTTTCTATGTTCTTAAATAGAATAAGAGGTGATAAAAAATATACATAATAGAAATGCATTGTGTCATTGTCATTGTGTTTATTTTGATGTAGTTCAAAAGTTTTCTTTATTTGGTATATCTGATTAAGTGTTTGTAGGTTAGATACATATCTGTGATGAAAGGCAATACGTTCTACTCTATGTAAAACTTCTCATTAAAGCATAATCAAAAACTGATGTATGTTTAATTTAAAATATATTTTATTCCAGTGATTACGGATAATACACCAACCAAGGACATTGTATCAATACCCTTAAATATTGTACACAAACTAAAACATTTGTGTGTTTTCTTCTGATAACTCAATCTATAGTTTTCACATCATCACATACAATTAAAAATAGAAGACACTATCTAAACCATTTAGGTATCGATAATCTGTCCCAATATTTTATTTTTTCTGATTTTGAAATTTCTCTGCCTATTTTTACTTCATCTTCCACTTTATTTAAAGGACTGGCTTTTAGTATATCAGGAAACGTAAATGTTTCTCCATTTCCCTAAAAATGAAAAATGCTACAGAGACAAAAATCCAACATAATGGGCATATTGTATTATAATATTATTTCTAATCTAGACATAATTGAAAATTTTATTGACACACAAAATATCTGGAATACACAGCAATTTACTGTCTTCAAAGAAACAAATTTATAATAAAACTTACCAAAGTAACAAAAGCATATTTTCTGTCTTGATCTAAACCATACTGAATATTTGTTGACATGTCAATCTGATTTTCGTTAACATTTTTACCAGATTTTACCTTACCTGAATATCAATAATACCTTATGTTACTTCACTGAGAATTAAATTTTCAAGGGTGCTCAAAATATAAAAGTGTTTTACTCAAGACCAAAACCAAGACCAAAAACTCATGAAATATAAAGACATATCAAACAAGTGGTTGCCTAGCAAGATACGCCCAATTTCCTGATACATTTTCAGTATAACAAGGGCAGTCACCTATCTGTGTCAAATCATACCAAAAATTTAATTTGTGCAAGATATAGTTGATTTAAACAAACACACATTATTTAATAAAATTCTGACATAAACTGTCACCTGTAACGCTAAGAAATTTTGATGCGTTTTTACTAAGTCATGGGCAATAATTCAAATTCTGTTGATCGAAAAATTGTCAAATTTAATCTTGACTAAGATTATAAATGATCATACCAAATTTCATTTAAATCAGATGAAAACTGTAGTCTCATTTGTGTTCACAACCAAATTTGGACGCGTTTTTTATAAGTCAAGGGCAATAACTTAAAAGCCGTTCATCGAAAGATTGTCAAATTCGAACTTGTCCAAGATCTCATGAATATAAATGATCACACTAAATTTCATTCAAATCAGATGAAAACTGTAGTCTCTATCGCGTTCACAAGCCAATTTTGACGCGTTTTGGCTAAGTCAAGGGCAATAATTCAAAAACCGTAAATCAAAAAAGAGAACTTGTCCAAGATTCATTCGAATCAGATGAAAACTGTAGTCTCTATCGCGTTCACAAGCCAATGGTGGACAGACGGACGGACGGACATGGGTGACGACATATATATGTCCACATTATAATGTGGGCGTATAAAAAGGTATGCATTCAGGAAAGAATACAAATTATAACTCAAGTAGTTTGAGCCTTAGTTGTTATATTCTGTCTGTCTCGATAATAAACAAATTTAGTATGTATACATATACATTATTGAATGATAATTAATTGGACCAAGTTTTGTAAAAATAAATCAGGAGTGTTTGTGTTTGCCTCTTATTTAATATTTGACAGACACAGGGGTATGACAGCAGCATTCTCTCCACGTTTACTGTGAACATTTAAAAATATAATTGTATGTAGAAACAAAACTTTTATTACAAATCTGATTAGAATACCTAGATCAACTTTAACTTGAACATCTATAACTGACACATTGTAAATCTTCTCTAAATAATTTTTGACATCAATTTTAGTCATCCTGAAAAAAAAAAAGTGCACATCTGTTTATAAAGTGATAGAATTTAATGCCAAATATCTGTAGCCTAACTAAAGAAATAGAAATTATACAATAATTATATCCTTATCTAAACATCTATAACATGTTGTAGTTCAACATCTAATCCTGAAACATGCATCTTTAAAAGTGTGGAAAATACATAGAAAACACTAAATTGTATCTACTATTTACAATCAATAAGAGGATTATTACACTTAAACACAATAATAATAGAAGCCTCAGGCATATTATCTCATCTTCAATATTACTTTATAAAACCCTACTTTATATATAGTTTCATGATTGATAGAAAAACACCTCTTTTTATTATTCTTGATCATAAATTATAAATATCTCATTAATGGTACTACTTCAATCTAAATATCCATGTGAAATAAGTAGCAGAAAATTGATCGAAACTAGCCATTATTTAGTATTACATAATCCTAATCTTCTCTCAATATAGGTTAATCATGAATTATTGTTTTTTAGAAAATATTTGACCTGTTTAGACATTCAACAGCAAGTCTTCAATCTCTACACAACACTCTTACCATATTTCAGTATCATTAGATATTCACAGTAAAATCATAAAATACTGATAATGAATGTATGTGATTCCATTGATTAGAAGTATAGAGAAGAAACATGGTGTTTGGATGACGTAGAAAATCATTAAGATAGTAATATTATACATGTCAGTGACCAGTTCATATATCAAAGTTGGATAAATGATTGAATCATTAACATATCTATTTATATATCTGATATTCTACCAACCTAAGGATTTATCCAGAGTTTTTTAATCCAGGATTCTATCTTTTATCAATTACTATGGATCGGTTACTAGAAATTTATGAGGACACAGATTACCCTAAACGTAGAGTGACATTTTCAGCAGTAAGTACCATCTTGTACACTTCAAATATTTCTTATTATATTTTTTTTAAAAAGGTTGACTTTCATTTTACATGTAAATGAGGTAAAATTTGTGCATAACTTGATCTGAATTTTTTTCTTAAAACTTGACTGGCTCAATTTATCAGTGTTTAAACACTGTGACAGAACACAGACCTTCTTAGATTTATTTTGAGGAAAAAAGTATAACAATGGATTTTTTTACCAAAAAAAAAAGAAACCTAAATTAAATTGAAACCAATATATATAACAAAACAAAATATCAATTACTATATTTCACACAATCTAAGATTTGAAAATGGCAGTGCTATTTTCTGCATAAAAAAAATCAAAATTTACAACTGAAGCCCACACAGAATGGTATAAACTTCTAAAAGGATTGCTTATAATATAAAATTTACTTTAATTGATATGATGTAATACTTACTGTGGATGAATTTCAAAATGGACTCTATCATTTGGTATATTAACTTTTGGTTTCAATAATTTCATCCAAAATAAGGGTAAATATATTCTAAGTTGAGGGTCACCTTTCCAATATATTGGGTAAGGTGGTATTTTCCTTTTAAATAATGGTCTGGAAAAAAAAATATTTGAGAATGGCATTTTCTGTCTTAAAATTGTCCAATGTCAAATGCTTTTTCTTTTCTCTTCCTGTTGCTTCACAAACTGAACTAAGAAAATCAGAAATGTAGTTGCATATGAATTACATGAAAGTGCTAATGACATGGAGCTAACAATAAGTAAAATATACATTTTGCAATATATCTAACTAGTATAAAACAAAAATTCATATAATTAATAGCTGAATTTTTTATTTTCATTTTTTCTCAAAATTAAGAAAATCAATAAGAAAAAGTGAGTGTAGCTTAAACAATTGAAATAACATGAATAAAAGAGGAACAGAGAATTCTCTGGATAGCATTTAATAAGATACAGACATTAGTCTGGAGATGCCATAAGCCTTGTATCATAGTAACAGGTATATAATTGTCTGGTTTGATAACTGATCAAACATTAAACTATTGCTCTCAACTACATGTCTGTGGTAATTTCGAATTTGTGATTGCAGAATTGAAGACTGTCTGTATATCCTGACATTCTCACTTTGGGCTGTTATTAAAACATAACAATCTCATTTAATGCTCATAACTTCAACCAAGGGTTAAAAATTCTACACTCAATTGAACAGTATGGAATATATGTCATATTTAAAATTTTCCTATCTATTTCTTTCTCCACCATTTTGAATTTTGTCTGACCACATTGAAACATGTTCTGAGCTCTGTTTCAAATTGTTTTATTGAATATACAGAAATTCTGTGAATCCTCAATGTTCAGAACTCACCAATTGAGAGACCTCAATTGAATTTTCAATTCAAGAAAGATTTCCAATTGAATTTTCAATTCAAGACAGATTTCCTTACTATAAATGAGGAATTCTGGGATATTCATTATATTCATTCTGAAATATTGACAACTTTTCATTGGTTAGCAACAACTTTTGAATCTATTGAGAATAAATTGCATAGAAAACGAATTATAGAAGAATTGTCATATCATGAATAGCAAGCACATTAGTCAGTAACCTGTAGAAAAAAAACATCCAAATCTGTATTTTAATCAGATTGTATTGGGACAGGCTAAAAAATATTGGTAATATTATACATCTGTTTGGGCGTCTTCATCTTTTAAATCCATTTCTCATAATCTAATGGTCTGCTAGAACAGTAATAATGGAACCTGTTTGTGACTCATAGAGGCATTCTGCTTTAATTTCTACATGTAAACTAGGCTTATTATGTGTGATGTTATATATGTCCTTTGTATAGTTTCTATACAATTACCATTTTAAACATCAAATTTTATATTTGATGATACATGACGTGATTTTATTGTCGAGAGAGTATTTCGAACTACAGACCTACAATTCTTTACTTTCAGAGGTACGTTTGTAAAAACACAGCTGATTTATTAACAATTTGTGGTCCAATCCGAATTCATTTCTCATAATCAAATATCGGCTAGGACAGTAAAAATGGAGCCTGAGGGATTCAAAATACTTACAAAAGCTAAGACTATTGTAACTGTTTGTGACTGAAGGAATGGATATTTCAAGTTAAAACTTTCATGAAGGGTAACAGTCATCTTCCTCTTTATGTTGGCATGCAGTTTGATATATTTCACACTAGAAACTACAAAAAACTGATTGAAAAAAGCAGAATGCCCCTTTAAACAATATTTTTTGTCAAACTTTCCAAAAAGTTTGTGAAATCGCTGCTGATTGGTTAACAATTTGTGATCCAATCAGAATTCATTTCTCATAATTAAAATATCGGCCAATAGGCCTACAGTAAAAATGTACTTTTGTGGCTGTCTTTTGATATCTTTGGTCAAAACATTCATAAAAGGTAAGGTACAAATTCTTCTACATGATGGCATGCAGTTTTAAGTACTTCGTGCTCCTAACCACAAAGCTGAATGAAAACAAAATCTTTCAACAATTATTCGGCACCCTCATTTTTTATTTGCCACCCGTTTTTAAAACTTTAATTTCTCTAGAGACTGACATTATTAGCTGTGAAGGCTATAGCGTTACATGCATTATAATATTCTTTTATGTTCATTAGAAACGCTTATTTGCAATTGCTTTCAGAAAAATGTATGAAAATGACACCTACTTATAATTGATAAACACTGTCCCATTGGATGGCTATTTAAGTCAATTTGGCTACCACTTTTTTGAATCACTTCTATGCAATTTAGTCTCGATATTCATGTCACCTACAAACCTCACATGGCTCTGCATTTTCTTTTTTTGAGGCCCAGAAGCGTTTTTCCTTGACAATTCCTGGCGGATTTAAGGATTTTTTATATAGTGTGTGGGAGATCCCACCCTTTGAAGATTTTTGGAATCGGATTCCCAAAAACACTAATTCCCTATTAGAAAGCTGGAACAAAAGCTGAGGGTGGTAAAAAAAAGACCTTAGGGTGGTTAACAAGAATTGTCAATGATACACAAGAGCTGAGGGCAGTAAACAAGATTTTTGGGTAGTAAACTGGAGCTGGGTTAATGAATAACAACTAGGGTGGTAAACAAGAGCCGAGGATGGTTAACAAGGGCCGAGAGTGGTTAACAACAACAAGAGCTTCGGCTGGTGAACAAGAGCTTAAGGTGGTTAACAAAAGTTGAAGTTGGCAAACAAGAATTTTGAGTGGTAAACAAGTATTGGGGTGGTAAACAAGAGCTGAGGGTGATGAACAAAAGCTGGAAATGGTAAACAAGATCTGCGGGTGGTAAACAGGAACGGAGGGTGGCAAACTAGAACTGCTATTGGTAAACAAAAACCGAGGGTGGTGAACAAGAGCTGAGGGTGGTAAACAAGAGTAGGTTGGTAAACAAGAAACTAGACCTACGGGTGGTAAACAACAGCTAGGGTGGTAAAAATAACCCAGGGTGATGAACAATAGCTGAGGGTGGTAAACAAGAGCTGAGGATGGTGAACAACTAAGTAGGTGAACAAGAGCTTAGGGTGGCAAACAAGAATTGTGGGTGTTACACAAGTATTGTGGGTGGCAAACAAGACCTGGGGGTGGTGAACAACAGCTATGTTAATGAAACAAGAGCTGGGTGTGGTAAACAAGAATTGTGAGTGGTAAACAAGTATTAAGAGTGGTAAAGAAGTATTGAGGGTGGTAAACAACAGCTAGGTTAATGAAACAAGAGCTGAGAGTGGTAAACAAGTATTGAGGGTGGTAAACAACAGCTAGGTTACTGAAAAACAACTAGAGTGGTAACAAAGAGTTGGGGTGCTAAACAGGAACTGAGGGTGGTAAACAAGAACTGTGGGTGGTACAACAACTAGGTAGGTAAACAAGAGCTTAAGGTGGTTGACAAGAGTTGAGGGTGGCAAACAAGAATTGTGGGTGTTACACAAGTATTATAGTGGCAAACAAGACCTGGGTGTGGTGAAATCAATATGGTTTATTATCGTACGCCTTATTACCATCCGTACACATTACTTACCCCCGTCGGTATTGTGTATTATCGTACGCCTTATTATCACCCGTACACATTACTTACCACCTATCAGTATTGTGTATTATCGTACGCCTTATAACCACCCTTACACATTACTTACCACCCGTCAGTATGGTTTATCATTGTACGCCTTATTACCATCCGTACACATCACTTACTACCCGTCAGTATGGTTTATTAACATCGCCTTATTACGACTCTTACACATTACTTACCACCCGTCAGTATTGTGTATTATCATACACCTTATTATACCTTAAACCTTATTACATATTTCCACCCACCCCAATGCAGTGTATTTACCACCCACATACATTACTTACACATTTGCAATGGCTCCAACCATGGATTGATATTCTTTGAATTTTTTGACTTGATTTCCCCTTGTTGGTGTTTGGGATCGGAGGGGCTTACTTGGAAAATGCGTCTAGGATAAATGTGACACAATTTGGACACTGCTATGTCTTATTTTTTACCATTTACACATCTTCATCAACCTTTTTTTTTATTTACGTAAAGATCCCTCGACAGTTGGAAATCGAAAATAAGAGTAAGCTAATGTTGCTGTCCTGACAAAATTTCCCTCATTGCACACTGCATGGCGTTTGCCCATCCTCAGTAGCCCATACAGGTGCAGAAAAGTAGGACGTAAAACTTTATTTTATTTCATTTTCTTTTTCTACGAATTTCTTATACAAACGTATGATGCTAAATTTCATAGCAACACTAACAGGACCTTTTGGGATGTATGCTAATTGGTGTAAACAAAATGGCAGAATTTCTACATTCGTTCCATTGCAAGAAATTCAATTTATACAGTGGTGTAACCTATTTTCGTGGATACAAGGATTCAACACCGAATTTCATCAAAGTTAAAAAAACAATATTTTTTTTTTATGTCTTAGATGTATCCTCAGATATTCTACAAAATAATTAAAATTGGTTTATTTCCATTTTCTTTATTAATCCTTCACTTTGACCCATATTTCATGAGCAACCAACTCGGCAACGGCGGCAGAATGCGTAACCTATTTTCGTGTACAATGTTTGATCTATAAATTAGTCTACAAAAACAGTTATACCGGGTGGTATAATTAACTTCTCTTTGTATTTATCTTTAATATCAGTTCATTATAACTAGTGACAATTCCTTCAAAGAACCATGATTTAAAAAAAAAATAGTGACGGACAAAATAAGATACGTAGCCTGATTTATTGCTAAAAGTCACTGAAACAACATAAGAATATGGTCCACTTTGTGTTCCATAGAAATTTTCTACTGACACGGAATCCGCTAGTTGATCACGTGATTTCATTCGTTGGATATATTCTAGCAGAAGACACTTGGAATTCCAATTACTGCTTGGGATCATAAGGAAAATCGGCCGATAAAAAATGGTGACGTTTGGTAAAAACTGAAATCGGCCATTTTGTATTTGTCAAAGTATACATCAATACATTTTACCTTGCTTGAAACTACTGGATTCATTCTACTGGCTGACATTGTACAGAAAACCCATGTTTATTAAAACAAACTAATGCGGAGGTCGCGCAAGGTCGCTCATGTAAATCATTAATGATTTGTGGAAATCCACGAATAATAGGTTTCCACGAAATTAGGTTACTTGACTGTATTAACACGGTCTTGTCTGAACCTGACAAAATCCATTACAAGTTTCTCAGAGTCGACTAATATGTCACTGAAAGAATAAATTATATCAAAAAGCTGACATTTCATGAATTTTTTAGATTTTTTCTGCCACCCGGATGGCGAATAGTCAAATGAATGAAAAGAAATGTAGCGAAAGATACGAAGATAATGCCAAAGGAATCAGTCGAATATTAACAACAGCATTTTAAATCATGCCTCAATGTGAAGTAATAAATTAATAAATCTCACTTATAATTTCCGATGATCGCTTTGGTAAAACCAGCCATTTCCTATTTTCTCTTTATTTCTTATTTCTACATTTATATATTTATTTACATGAGGAGCATTCAAGGTTAAGGTCGACAGCTACAAAACACTGGGTTGACGTTTTCAAGGAAACGAAAAAAACTGAAAAACTTGATGAAATTAGGGTTTCAAATTTATTCTATGATTATGGTTGTTAAGAATTATTATAGTTATAAAGCAAGGTATCGGAAGCAACTATCAATAAAACTCGAAGTTTTAACTTGAATATTTCGTTTAGTCACTTTATTTATTTTTTAATTTGCCAGCGGTGGACACTATTTACTACTTCTAATAAGACAAAATAAATTATTGTTGACTTTTCGATTCTCAGACAGTCAGTGACAATGAGAAGACTCTTTCCAGAAAGCCTTTGATCTTCCTGAAATCCATACTTTCAACAGAATACACACTACCATTTGACAACGATGCAATTTTATGATGTAAAGCTTGACATGTTCATTACAGACTTGGTTAGGTAGTGTTTAGCATTATATTTATGGCCTAAACTTACATAGAATCAACAAGTGGCTGTTTTGCCAAATATTACCAAGAAAGGTAGGCAAATATCTTTCCTTATTTGGATTGAAACTTCGCATTTTGGCAATCTTATTCATATTAATTGAAATATAATTTTCAAAGTAAAGCCTTCTTCTGAGAGTCTTAGATTATTTTAGGTTGATCGGTATTAATGATTAAATAAATGACAACAAAAATTTATAGGCCTAGGATTGGCTGAAAAATTATTATTTGTTGAAATATGATTTTTTGCATTTGATAATAAGACTAGGATTAGATGATTCTCAAGTGCAAACCAATTGTCTTAGAATGCCTATGGGTCCATGAATATATAAGTTTTGAAATTTTGCACTTGAATGAACACACTTCTCATATGTGATATGACACATTTTGAACTGAAAATCCCCTCTGTAAAATCATAGTTTCAAATAATCTTGTTTTCAATGGTTGGCATTTTCATCAACACAAAGACAATCTAAGCCTCTCAGCAATATTTCAAGATTAATATTTCAATTCATACAAAAATGATAGCCAAAATGTGATTTACAACTTAATGTGGCCAGAGAGTAGAAGACATTCTTACACAAATAGCATGCAGACACAGTTAGAAAATGTTTATTATCAATAGGCTTATTGACTTTATGATACAACATAAAAATTCCATTCTGATTTCGCTTCTTTTGGAGATTAAATAATCCCTGTGTGTATTCATGGATCGTCATAATCATGGCCTTAACTAGGCTTAAACAAGTTTCAAATGAAATGTATATAAGTAAAAAAGATTTGGATAAGTTTTTATCTGTCGATTTCTGTGTTAATTATTTTATTGTCTATTTTAGAGCTTTTGTAATGTTAACTAATACCAGTTTAGTCAATGAAAATTTGTTTTCTTAAATTGATTTTTTGCAACTAAATGCAATACAATTTATCAAAAAAAAATTTAGTTTATTTTTTCCAGCCTTTTTTTTCTTATTTGGCCTAAATTGTTAATTCTTTGAGTGAGCCCAAATCTCATGAAGATATTATATAATCTTAACAGTTTCACTAATCCAATCATCATAGAAATGAAACCTTTTGTTTTAATGTAAGCTTATTAGATCCTCTTACAATAATTTCAAGATTCTCCTATCAAACAGAATTCAATATATGATATGCCAAACATTGGGACACATATTCTTGCATTTTAACAATATTTTTATCACAGATTTACACGAATAGTACATGGTAGACTCTATCAGACTGCAGCTGACATCGAAAGAGTGATTGTAGGCCTAATGATAGACTTGATGACTATTACAATATGATTTCACATTCCTTTGAAAATTTAATGCTTGTTTGAATCAATATGGACATTGGATTTAAATTGACATTCAATTTCCATGCTTTTTAAACGTGTGGAAAACAAACTTATAAGAAGCATGCTATCCAGTATTTGAATTTTAAAACGTCAAACTTTCAGGGTAAACAAGTTTGTTTCCATCTACTTTGTTAAAACTATATATTTCTCTAAGTGTTGTTTGGTTATCATGGGAAGCATGATTTTAATTAATGCGCCTAATTATGCTTAAAAAACAAAGCAGACAAATAAGGGATATTGAAAGCACTTATAAGTGGAGTTCTCTAGACTAGACTTTTCATTGGATATTATAAATCATATGTGTATGTCCAGATTTATCAAGTGTTAAGATTAGGCTTTAATCTGAAAATATTTGAAAATAAGTTATTGTTTGTTTGAATTGATCTGTATATTGGATCAGAAAAGTTGTGTTTTTCACAAAAAAATGAACATTTTGTATATGCATTGACAATTAAGTGTTTTTACTATATGTATACTATACATACAATGCTCAAATAAAATGAAAAATAGACACTGTGCTCTAAACACTCTTTGAGTGATGATACATACATATTGGAATTTTCAACATGGTTGACTATAAATGATAATGAATTTTTTAAACAATGCGATACATGCTCATATTCTGTATTACAGAAAGTGAATAATTGATTGTTGAGAGGATAACTGACCTATAGTTTTAGTTTGATATATAGACTGTGTAGAGGATGTTCTGCTTCAATTCATACCAAATGTTCTAACAGTGAATATATTCAATGTTCTAAATTCACAATAATAAACATATGTCAATAATTGTTAGAATTATTGTGGGTGTCAACTCATGTGAAATTTAGGAATATTGCCCTCAAAGAAAGTAGGTTAATGTCTATTTTTAAGCTTATTTGATATTTTGAGATGTGGGTTATATATTGAGTTTTCTTTTTTCCTGTAAGATACATCTTTCTTTTCTTATGCTATTTTTTCAAGTTTTTTTTAGTATACTTATTATACACAACTTTACAACAATTTACATTGTCATCATCAGGTGAAGTAAGGAAATATTTTCTTATTTCACCTGATTATGACAATGTAAATTGTAGTACAATAAAACCCATAAAATTGTGTCTATTATTTATTGTAATCTCTACTCCCATTTTCATCATTTCATAGACCCATAAATTTTTAACATTATCAATAAATCTAATTTCAGATCTCTTCAGTTCAAAAAATGTCCAAGAAAAATAAGAAGCCCCGTCAGCTATCTGAACAAGATGTATATCGTGATGCAGCACATATTTTAGAAGAATTTTTAGAAAATAAGCTGGGTCCAAAAAGTTTACAAAGCAATGGAAGTTCAATAACGAATACCAATTCTAGCAGTGGATATTATGATGCATCACGTGAAAGCTTGGATATTTGGTTTAAAGATGATAACACTTCACATAATTTTAATATTGAAAGATCTCAGACTATGCCATCAAGTTTTAAACTAGACGATAAAGACGAATTTACAGCAGAAGATATTAAAGAATACATGAAAACTAAGAGTGATTTTGCTAACAGACGACATTCTGGTTCTGCTACATCAGGTGAGTCCGATGTTCTTGATAGTCGAGTTGGTGCTCCTCTACGACGAAAGAAAAGTTTCTATAAAAGAGCAAAAGAACGTTTAAGTATAACATTCCGAAGACAAGAGAGAGAGAAAGAAAATGAAGAAAAGGAGGAAGAAGATATCAGGAAAGAGAGAAAGAAGAAAAAGAAGAATGATAAAAATGATCAAAAATCTTCTACAATTGAAGTGAATGGTGGAGAGCTAGATGATGAATTTGATGATGAAGTCCAGTTAAGACGTGGTGGAAATAGAAAGAGAAGTGACAGCACAGCTTCTAAACGAAGCTCTATATTTGAATCATTTAGGAGATCATTTCGGTCTAAAAGAAAGTCTACTACTATATTTGGTAAGAATATATTTAATTGAAGGTGATGGGTTAATTATAAATTTCTGATTTTTAAATGGTAACATTTGAAGAACATTCTTTTTAACTTCATATAAATATCTTTTACATTTGCATGTTGACTTTCCTTCTATTTCAGAATCACAATCAGCTGATGCTATTATTGATAATAAAACCAGTGATAAACGTACGTCTGATGATGGAAAAAAGACTGATAAAATACCACAACGCACTACTCCTCCACCTGTAAAAGATCCTAAAAAAGAGGAAACAAAAGTACCACCAATTCCTCTTCCTTATATTGATACAAGTCATTCTATAGATTTAGATGACATCAAATATATTGATGATGAAACGACCACTGATCAGAATAAAAATAAAACAGGTGAACTACCTAAACCTAGTCGTAGTCGTAATAAACCTGCACCACCACCACCTAAAGCACCACCATTACACAATGGTACTAGTAATGGGACTAGTAACAGTACTAGCGATGCGGGAAATTTAACATTAGGTGATAGTCTTAATACTAATATTGCTACTTGTACTAATGATAATTCAGGTGAGTATCTGTCTTAGTAATTAACAGTCAATTACTACATTCCTATAATAAGCATACTGAACGAAGGTATTTTCTGTAAATATATATCATTAAACTGGGTTCAACTTCATATTGTCATAACTTATCTAACATGTCATTCTCTATTACTTGTATCTAAACATGTCTTTTATACTGTCAGTTACCATGTACCACTGCCTGCTTGTTAACTCAACAGAAATCATATCAGTCAGCTGATTTGTTAAGGCTCGGAATGTCATATATAGTCCTTAAGAAAGGCTAAGTTTGCCTAGATTTGCATGCTATTGTCTCTACCCAAAATATTGATTACCCTTATTCCATTTTTTTAATCAAAACGCGGTATGGTATTTTATGTTTCATTTGGAAATGAGACGTGGATATGTGGAAGTTGCCCCTGTTCAATCATCCATATCTCCATTCTTATTTTTTGTAGACATGATACAGGCTGCAATATTATTTGTTTTATTATTTAGGCGTCAACATTTTTCTTTTAGACATGATATATTAACTACTCTTTTTCGTTTGATCTCGATAAAACTAGGACTAATTATACGATGAGAGGTAAAGGATATGTTCAAAATTGGCAATAATTGAATGAATGGTTTTGGAATTTTAGATCTTGACTTAATAAAAAGTAAAGGACTTACTGAAATTTGATATGCATAGAAGCAAATTGATGATATTTCTGTCAAGTTGTGATGACTTTCAGATGAATAGTTTTATGTTATGGTGACCTTTTTTCAAATGTACTAATTAAAATGAAACTGCCAGTGAGTGTATGTTATCTTTCCTGGCAAACTATCTTTTTCTATAGTTTGTATATGGTTATAGTTTAAAGATATCTATATGTATGAAAGACACCATGATATATAATATTTATAGGTGATGATGTTGATAGTCCAGATAAAAAAGATGAAAATATTCCATTCCATGAGAAATCAGACAGTGAAAAAGATGATTTGATGGAAAAGATAGCTGCCAAGTTAATGGATATGGCTGATAAAATGGATAAATCGAAGTCTTCAAGTGATACTGATGGAGGTCATATAAGATATGCACATGATAATTCTTCTAGTAAGTTGATGTTTGAAGGATTTTAATAACTCAAACACAGCTAAAATTATAGAACTCATGATAGTCATGACTGGCAGATGTATTAATTAGGTCACATTTTATATGTCCATCTCGGTCAGGTTCCGGTAATAATCAGATGAATAGTTTCAGAGTAATATCCCTTGACTCAAAGGTCAAAGTTGGATTGTAGGCATGATATAGGCTACAGTTTTTATACACCCACATGAATATGTGGTGATTCCAAAAAGAAAAAACAGGCAGCAATAACCAATAACAGAAGACTTTTTGATGGGATCACCAATACCACTAGTAGTACAGCGATTCATTTGATGTATACTGAACTGGTAAGATCTGGTCAAGTTTGAATTTGACATATTTTCGATGAACGGTTTTTGAGTTATTGCCCTTGACTTTGTAAAACGGTTCGAAATTTGTTAAAAATAGTTCGTGAGCAGGATTGAAGCTACAGTTTTCAACCGATTCTGATGAAACTTGGTGTGATCATTGGAATTGATTAGATCTCGGACAAGATTTAACTTGACGCATTTTCGATGAACGGTTTTTGAGTTATTGCCCTTGACTTTGTTAAAACGCGTCGAAATTTGTTTGCGAGCGCAATAGAAGCTACAATTTTCAACCAATTTTGATGACACTTAGTGTGATCATTGAAATTGATAAGATCTCGGACAAGTTCTAACAAGAGATATTTTTTATGAACATTTTTTGAGTTATTGCCATTGACTTTGTAAACACGCATCAAAAGTTTTTTTTTGCCCTTGATTAGAGCAGTGTGATTTAATTGTTTGTTCTATTTGGGTTATTGATATTGATTTTTAAAAATTTTGTAGAATTACTCAGGATAAATAACTGGTATATATAATTGAATTCAAACTAATAAAATTTCTTCAATATGAGAAAATTCGTATTTTAGTCACTAAAGACTGTTTTATCATTTCTGACAGCTGCCAGTCGGCGTATGTTACCTTGCCTCGCAAGATATCTTTATCTTATCTTGAAGACACTTGGTTTACATATATTGATGAGATCTCAGTCAAGTTTGAAATTGGGAACAATTGGATGAATGGTTTCAGAATTATTGCTCTTGTGTGTACATCGATGAGACAATGTTCATGTTTGAATGATAATTTGATTAACTGTTTCTGAGGTTTTGACTTTAAAATATTTTAAAGATTAATTAAAAATGTATTATTAAGCCACTAAAAACTTTCATTTCTGACATCTTGTAGTGGGTGATGTTTCCTTTGCAAGCTATTTTTATACGCCCACATCTCTTTATATGGACGTATATTGTCGGCACCCCTGTCCGTCCGTTGGTCCGTCCGTTAGAATTTGACCGTTAGAAGCAGAGTTATTGTCCTTGCCCCAAAATCTTGAATATGCTATTACTCTCTTAGTTTTCAACCGATTTTGATGAAACTTAAAATGGATGTTATTGGACCTAAATCGCAAGGTTTGAGAAAGTTTAGTTTACCTTTTCAAGATTTAGGCCTCATACGTCAGTTTGGAGGAGTTATCGCCCTTTAACCTCATAACAGTAAGTGCTTCTATCAACATCAATTGCTCGTGAACACTCCGTTCGTCCGTCAACATTTGCTTGTAAACACTCTAAAAACAAGATTTTTTGATGGAATCAAATGAAATTCGGTATGTGTATACATATTCATAAAACAAAGATCAAGTTCGAATTTGAGCTATTTTCGACTGTTAGAAGCAGAGTTATTGCCCTTGCCCCAAAATCTTGAATATGCTATTACTCTCTTAGTTTTCAACCGATTTTGATGAAACTTAAAATGGATGCTTCGTTTTTAACATCCACATGCCGTGGTGGGCGTATATGGCTGTGGTCCACTATCTTTATTGGCATTATTGGATTGCTACTTCTTTGTGCTTCAAATAATTGATTTAAAAAATCCAATATTTAGATATGTACTGTATATTTTAGGTGTAGATCCTGAACAATTAACAGCTCTAGAGCAGGAGATATTGGATTGTTTACGAGTTGGTGGAGACAGACTGTCACAATCTGTAAGTTTTAATGGAGATTTCAACCAGATTACTAGACCTGATCCTTCATTTATTTGTTTTTATCCTTAAATTTGTTCAACTCTTTAAGTTTTTATCAACAACTTATTTTTAAAGAGGTTCTTTTGAAAATTATGGTTCAACCAAAAAAATGAATAACTAAATTATCATTTTGTCTGTCATGGTTTCAGATTCTGATATACATGGTTTCTATGATAATAACAAGTCTAACATTTGACTGAATTGCCTATAATGTAAGATTTAAATAATGATATGTATAATTAAAGGTAATATTTGTTATGTTTTTCAGTTTGATGATCCAGTACAAGTTGTTGTTGAACAACACAGAAAACAGGCATATTTGAGATTTTATGATACATTAAGAAAAGGATTAGGTGATGAGATCAGTTGGAATCAACTATCATTGATCTACCAGACAACAGCAGGTGCCATTAAAGCTGCCGGTGCTGGTACACAACTAGCCTATAGAGTTAAAGATATGACCCAACAATATGTTGGTGATAAGTTTGCTTCATGGATTGTAAGAGAGGGTGGTTGGGTAAGCTCTATACTTTCTATTATGTTATTGATAAATAAAAAGGTTATCCAAATAGTACAATGTCAGCTTTGCTTCTGTTATTTTAAAGTCTAGGAGACTAGCCTTATTGTAGAACATTTGTTTAATTGGCAATTGATGTAACTTAAGTTAATTTTTTTTGTTAAAGGTTTGACTTTGACAAAGCTACAATTTAGATTATACTACCTTATCAGTGAAAAGTGAAAGAGTATTCACCATGAATTTAATGTATTTACAGGATAGTATGTTGAGTGAGTCTGAGTCAGAAGTAACAAGTTAAAAGATTTTACATGAAGATCTCACTATGATAACAACATGGTGAAATTCCTAAAGTGCTTATAGAGGAAATTATTTTGATTTATATTCCCCTCTTATTCACAAACACATTCCTATTTTAGGAGCAGATACTCTTTGGTCAAATGTATTTTTAGTTAGGCAGCTCGGTTGTAGTATGTGTAAATATTATGCTTCTAGTTAATGTCTGCTTGAAATGTGGTTCCTTACTTACTATATTATTGGTTTTTATCAGTATATATAGATTAATTTTACAGCATTTAGTGGTTTTCATTCCATAAACTGTAGAATCGTGAATTGTTGTTATTATTTATGGGCTTTGGTGGCCTGAAGCATTTTTAAACTGCAATATGATATAGCTTGCCAATTTAGATTTAAAATTTTCAACAACAAAAATTGCATAATTTAAAGATTTAAATGTATATTATTGAAAGTTGGACTGGTTCATAGATCATAATACTGATCTCATTTATCATTGATTAGTATATTTTATTACTAGCACTACTATGTAAATAATTAATCAGGCTTTTAGGATCATCAATATTATTTTAGTCTTGGTGCTGGTGCTGGACAGTACATTTATTCCAATTTGACACACAATTACTCTTTTTACTTTGGCATGATCCCAGACTCTAGCATTTAAAATGGCTATGTGTTGAAACACAAGAATATATGGAATATATAAGAATTTAATAGGTAATAATGTGAATGGATTGTTATGAAGAGATGAGAATTTAATTGTGTTCACAACTATATGATCAGTGTGGATATTGATGCACATCTTGACACAGACATAAAAACATAACCAAGTTATTTTTGGCCGTCTAAATGTTAGATCAACAAGTAAATAGAGCACTATTTCAACTATCTTTAAAACTTAACAGATTTTGATTTAAAAAGTGACCCAGATAGCTGAATCTTATCAGCTGGAAAAGCATGTCTAGTATGATCTTGTCACAGAACTGAATGTATTAAAATTAACAGGACAACCTGAAACAAAATAGACTGTCTGTATGGATGTGTATAGATATCTTTATCGGACTATATAGTATATAATTATTGTCTGTATGTGATAGAAAATTAAAAGTAAACATTGTAATAATGTGATCTTCAACTAATCATGCATTTCGATTGATAATTTTTAATGTATTAGATGAAGAGATAGCATATTTTTAATGTTTTCAATACTCATTTGTTTAATATATCTTTTATCTTGTAATTTAATACATATCTTATTTATTGTTCAAATAGAAGTTGACAATCAAATATCTTTCTCTGGTTTTATTTGTTCTATAGGACAGCTAAAATCGAAATAATGTTGAATTGCAATTTTGTCCATCCTTATTTTCTGTTCTTGCATTCTAAATCCAAGTCTTAACAGAAGCAATATAATATCAATCAATGATATCAGGAGCATAATGGTGTTAGATTTAGTTATATTGTAATATTATATAGTTTTATTAGAACAAAGTTATTTCAGATTTTATTTTTATATACTCTATAATGTAGTCATATTATTTAGAGCTGTGCCATGTGTATGAAATGTGATATGTTTATCTATAAATACATCCTATAAAGTCTATATTTACCTTACTGTGTGAACTGTTATCAATGTCTATTGTTTTCATTTTTCTATGTTAATTTATTATTAAGGCCGAGCCTAATGATCAGAGCATTTCCAATGCAAATTTTTTCAATAATAACTACATGTATATCATTTCAAACATTTATTTGATTTTTATATTTTACATCAATTTATGAGAAATATTTTAATTATTTCATTCTGTTATCTGAATTTTTATTATATAAATGGTCTAAAGTATGTGTGATGTTTAGGCAGCTGATATTGATGTGATGTAGTTATGGTACTGGTATAGTAGAAATAGTTCTAAACTGGCATTCCTTTTGTTGTGTCATCTTCTTATATCTTTATTATATATCGTATATTGATGATAAATATTATATTTAGATGTATAGTGATCTCAAAAACTACAATTTGATGCCTTTGAAAAACACTTGAAAGAATAATTTCTTAAAATATAAATATCATTGGAAAAAGGGTCCTTGATTATACTTAACAATTCTATATTGTATGCAATAAACAAAGTTTCTCTATCATATTTGTCTTTGTATTGAATGTTTGGAGGGGGTTATTGCTTTAGAGCATGAAGAAAGTAAGTCAAGCCTTTTAACACGCATCAGGAGCATTACAACATCTATATTTGATAGTCTTTTACTGAGAATTTTTCATCATGTTCATATAAGGGTAAAAAAAACTTTAACTTTATGTGCCCACATTTTGAAACTGGGCTATTAAAGGCATTGCCTCAGACAGAATCAAAGAACAATTACTGGATTTTCAATGACAGCTTGCAATTGGCGGCATCTGTGAGCATATAATCAATAGCTGGTTTTAGTTTGACAGTTGATATCAGTTTTTCTTATGTTGAATGCAATGGATCCAAGTTGACAAGATCACACTTCACTAGTCAGACAGTCTCTTTTGAGAACTAAAACACATGGTTTATTTGAACTAGTGGTGGAAACAACTTTCCAACATGACTTATATTTGTATACATATCTTTATTTCTTCTAAAATGATCATTGGTTTGAAATCAAAATATAATAAATAATACTTAATGAAGCAACAATATTTTGACCAATTCTACTCTGGTAATATTTCTAATCAATTTTGAAAACAATTTCTTACATAACATTTGACATAGCAAAATGGCACCAAAAAGCTAGCATCAAAAAGCATAAAACATTGGAAAAATTTTTGAAAGCATCACAAAGATATGTTATTTGTGTGTTGGTTTAACTACAACTATTTATAGAATGTTTAAAAAGTATGTTCAAGTGAAATGATACATGATGATTTATACACTGAACAATAAAGTGACCTTAAATTCTAATAATAATAATAATAATAATAATAATAAAATGTATTATGCTGTAATAAGATTAGAATAACATTAAAATAATATGGTCCTTTAAAAAACAGATCCCAAACAGATCATTTTAGCAATAATACTGATACATAAAACATTGCACAATTCCCATTTTCAAAAAACCTTTAAAAACTTGCCATTACAACTTTCTATGATAAAAATATTTTTTTATATTTCAACAAAACACGTATTTTTCAATAAAAGAAAGATGAAACTTATGTTTTAAGTATGTCCATGATATACGCGTTCCTCAAATCTAATGAACATTTTATCACATATCTAACTCAATTGGATAACGTTATATTTCTGAAAAAGATGTCAATCTGTTTTTAATCCACACATTTTCATATTTTTGCCAATTTTTCTATATTATATATTGCAAAAAAACTGTTTAAACTTTAAACTGCTTTACTTTTTGAAGCAGAACTATTAAACTTTCTCTGTACATGGATGTCTAATATACTAATTTTTGGGACGGTTCTTGTCTTCTGCTAATCATACCAGATTTGAATAAATTCAGGTTCATATGATATAAATATTCAGAATATCTGTTAAGTGTTTAAGCTACTTTTTTAAATCCAACTAGCATTTATTTGTAAACGGCAGTGAGGTCTTCTTTCTTAAATTTGTTGATTTCCATACTACTTAACCATTTAAACTAAAACACATTCAATTAGACAAAAATATGGAACAAATCCTTTGACATTCAACAGCGAAAATATGTCTCGAAATATATCTGTATTGGACCTTTTAACTAATAACACTCTGTACAGACAATAAAAGAACAGAAGGCTTCTTTCTCTCAAACCAGCTGAGAGATTCTAAAATTTTCAGATAAAATGCAAAATTTGTACACTGAGTTTGTATTTATAGTTTTAGAGTCAACATTCTGTATCTTTGTACACTGGAAATGGCGGTGTAGCGAAAACAACAGTCTTGGTGTCTTTACGTTGTGTTTCTGTACCAGTTGGAGGTTTACCACTGACTTTATCTGTAGGTACCGTGGTAATGATGGGTGGTAATAACTGATTACCAGGTTGTGGCACTACTTCACATCGTTTCCATACAGGAGATCCACCGGAAGAATTCACAGAACTTGAGGAGTAACTTAATGGATTAGCACTAGCAAATAATAGTTTAGCTGAACCACTATTAGAACTAAGATTAGAGTTGGATGAATTGGGACTAGTGTTTTGGGCCGCACTAATTTGTGGTTCAGAAGCTGTAATAAATGTACTATTGTCATTCATACCAGCCTCATTTATATCACCAATAGTTTTACTTCGAGTACGAAATAAATTATCATAATCTAAAGAACTAAATTTCTCCTCTAAATCAACTGAGTGTCTTTCAGGATCTTGTGGTTTATTTGCACGTCTCTGTTTTACAACTGCAGGATTCGGTAAAGGTTCTTTAGAACCTGTCTTAGTATGTTCTGGTGATACTGATACTTTGACTGTTTTAGTACTTGGTATCATCATTCTCCGAACACTTTCCCTTATAGTATGACGTATCACTTTTATAAAATCACCTTTTGCTTCAGCAGTACTGAAAAAAATCAACGTAACGTAATAATGCTTGCTCTTAATTAATGCCACATATTACATGCCAGTATGTAGTAGATATAAGACAAATAGTATCAACTTATGTAGGTATTTGTAAATATATTTCTATCACAGCCCACATCCTGTGTTGCATTATAACTGTTAAATAAAATAATTATTTCCAGTGATTGATTGACAACACAATTCTGGACCAATTCAAAGTTAGGGAATACCATAATAATACCATAATAATACCATAATATGTCTGTTGACTCAAGGTTTACATGTTGACAGCTGACAATTGAACACTCAAGATGTGATTTCTGTCCAGTTTCACAATTTTTTTCACAGAAATCAAACTATCAATCTCACCTATTACAGAATTGATAATATCTCTCTGGTCTACTTTCAGGATCTGATCTAGAATGAATTAGATCCCACCAATAATGGCGGTCCATATCTGCCACTTTACCCATTCTCACTTGAACTTCTTGTGTTGGAATTAATGTACGGAATCTTTCTAACATTTCATTGTCTGATGTTGAACTCTTCTGTTGTAGAGACTGAAAAACATCATATTGATTAAAAACAAAACTGGACCCCTGTTAAGTTAGCTTATTGCAGCTTACAGCTACACTAACGACAGGTATAGCCTGAATCTCATTGTCAAAATATTGACCACAGGATTTGGTGAGATGTTGTCTATTCAACATTGACAACTCAAATAACCTTATATAAGTGTCTGACATGGATTTTGTCCAATCAGTGGCTCCAACCCCTTCCTTTGATGGAATGACGGGCCCGTTTAAACAAAACCCAGCATGCATTTGGAATTTTCTCAAAAATAAACTATTAAGTAGGTAAACCAAGTTAAAAAATCAATTCACCTTTGACTTTTTACTGCGTTTAACCTTTTCCCTACAAAGGAAGACAACAGCAGTTCGGAAGACAAACACTATGGTTTCAAAATCTGTTGATTTTTTCACTTTGCCCAGATATTCTGCCATATTACACCATTCCACTGTACCATACATTTGTAGTTCTCCTACACTTAAATCAACTGGCTAGAAATTACAAAACATAAGACATTATTAATTATAAATTCCTCAATTTGGGAACATTCTGTGGCTATTCCAAACATGAGTTGTCTATTTCATTTTCAGTCAACAAACTAGAAGTCTGGCTTGTCCAGTTCAGATACAATATAAACTTTTTTTTACGTTTTAAATGGCCTGAAAAATGGTAGAAATATCTTTGCGCGACTCCATCCATAATCATTCAAGACTCAGTCTTCAATAGTTTCATATCCATTGTTACCAAGAAATCTCATGTGTACTGAGAATAAATAAATACCTGTTTATGAGGATGAACCTGTTTAAAGGTAGTTGAGAGATCATCAAATATAGACCCGTATTCTTCATAAATTTTCTGCATTTCATTGATATGTTCTGCAACAGCCTCCATTCCTCGTAATGCTTCTGTCAAATAAATCAAAACAACTTGTAAGCATCAACATGATATAATATTCATTTAATTTTCATTTAGCAATATTATCATAATAACAGTTTTTATTACAACATACAAACAAAATTTATATCCTATATCCACAATGGAAAATTTTACCTTAACTTAGAGTAATAAAATTTGTTGCTAATCAGATTAAATTAGACTAAGAGTAAGAGTAAGCAAATATAAAGCTTTGGAGTAGTCAGATATAAAGAAAAATGTAGAATAATAATCTGATATAGAATAATAATTTGATAAAGAATAATAACCTGGTACAGAGTAATAATCTGATACAGAGTAATAATCTGATATAGAGTACTAACCTGATATAGAGTAAAAAAAAAAAAAACCTGATATAGAGTAATAATCTGATACAGAGTAATAATCTGATATAGAATAATAATTTGATAAAGAATAATAACCTGGTACAGAGTAATAATCTGATACAGAGTAATAATCTGATATAGAGTACTAACCTGATATAGAGTAAAAAAAAAAAAAAAACCCTGATATAGAGTAATAATCTGACACAGAGTAATAATCTGATATAGAATAATAATTTGATAAAGAATAATAACCTGGTACAGAGTAATAATCTGATACAGAGTAATAACCTGATATAGAGTAATAATCTGATACAGAGTAATAATCTGATATAGAATAATAATTTGATAAAGAATAATAACCTGGTACAGAGTAATAATCTGATACAGAGTAATAACCTGATTTAGAGTAATAATCTGATACAGAGTAATAACCTGATATAAAGTAATAACCTGATATAAAGTAATAACCTGACAAACAGTACTACATTGTATTAGTATAAGTTATATACCTGATAAATGATGATGTTCATCTGTTTCTGGTTGAGACATGTTAACCAACTGTTGTAATAATAGAGGATATTTTAATATACGTTGTATAGGTTTAATAAGATAAGATTCTAATGTTGCTGAATGCTGTTGTTTAGGATTTCTGGCTTTTAAAAATTCTTTTAGTGCCTTATTGGATTCTGAAAAACAATACAAAATACAGAAACAAAATTGATGTGAAAACAACCATTGAACATTGTGCAATTGTTTATATATAACATAAGCCACACTTAAAATGTTCTAGCTCCATTTTTCCTTCCCTTCTGTAAGTACTAACAATTGTACTTGTACCTTATAATATAGAATAATCATATAAACTACCACAATTAAGTTTTGAATATATCATAGACTAATTGATCACTTACCAGGATTGAGCAGTTTTTGAGATCGTGAATGACTAGCACAAAATGAACTGTAAACCTTGAAATGATTAGCATAATACAGGAAAGATCCTCCTAATGAAAATAATACTCTCTGAAATTATATAAAATATTTAATATCAAGCACAGTATTTAAACAACCATGTTATTATTTTATTGAAATGAAATGATTGAAATAACATGAAATGAAATTCAAACTTAATATTTTAATTTGTATGACTGATATGAAATGAATTGTATTGAAATTATATTGAATGACTGAATATAATATTGAAAGTATAAAAACAAAAAACAAATATGAATGAAGTGCAAATATTTTAAAAATGTTGAAAAAAACATGCTATAGCTATTAGTGTTTAAATACTGCCAAAGACATTGGGACATAAACAACACGCCTGACCCACATTTTACATAAAGATACATGTCTAATTTAGAACATGTGAATCCCACACTTAAATCACATAAACTGAAACCTTGTTTCTCCAAAAACCTTATGATCTAGTTTTGTAAGTTTTCTATTTCTCAAACATTAAAAATACAAGGGATAGTTGCTCAGTTTCACTTTCAGAATGACAAATTTAGATGTTTCTCATTGTGACATCATTATAACTTACAGATATTAGTGATATGTGATATCAACATAATATATAATACGCTTTTTGTGAAATATGGGGACATAATGGGGACATAAATAAAAACTTTTCATTCAGACCTTGGGGGAAACTGACTGTTCACTGAATACTATAATAATCTATTATCTAAATTTCCATGTTTTACTGTTAATATAATGGAGTCCTTCAAGTTATTTTGATTTACAAAAATCAATTGCATTGATTCAATGCGAATTATTTCAATGTTTATATTTTCCCTATAGGAATTCCCAATAGGCAAACAAATACACAATAATTTCCATTAAGAAGAGAAAAAAAAATGTTACATGACAATGGAAGTTCCATCTATGTAGAATCAATTGAGTAATTATCTGATTACTGGTCTAAGCAAACCATTTCCCAGCTCATGCAAATATATCATTTAAGTTTAAAAGCCTTGAAAAACTATTTCAACTTGACCCTTAAAGCTGTGAATACTGCAATTTATTATTGTATACAATAATTAATTATAAAACTTGACCAATATAACAGTGATTACTAAAGCTATAACGACCCAATACAATACTATAACTATATAGATAATACAACCAAATACCAACCCTTATTTCTTCACTATCATCCTAAATAAAATAAAAAAACATCAAGATTTGCTTATATACCCATTGTACTTCAGTTAACTTTTTGTTTTGATCGGACATCTTAGACTTTAGAGGTTCAAAAGTCAAAACTTTAATGGTCAACAAAAATCCACTAAAATTATCTGAACATACATATGTATTTCTTCAGACCGCATCATCGTTTTATGTCATTTCTAACACTAGTTCTAACCCCAAAGAACTATTATCATCAAAATGAATTTTTCATTTAAAATCATCTATATCCCATAAATTTCAGTGTAGTTTCAATATTAGTATATGTGTCAAACAACTAATCTCAGTCGAAAACAAAAATCTTACTTTGCTCGAACAAAGAATTACTGTGTCACTGTGGCCAGACATAGCAAAACATGTGATATTTGTTAAACTGTAATTGTTTCATGATATAAAATAGAAATGAGGTAGATATTGTGGTAGGATTCAGTTTAAGATTATCAATAAAATCACCAGACCTAACAGTTCTAACACTAACTTATTTACATTAAAGCAAATTACAATAAAATAAAACTATGATTTAAATATAGGTCTACAGTATGTGCCAATTTTGAAATATCTGTAAAACAGAGTTAAACTGAATACTCTGGTCAAATTTATTGAAAATTTGACCCTTTTTTAGTTATAAGCAAAACAATTTTATAAAACAAGGATCCCTCCCTCTTTTGACATTAATGGAAAAACCAAAAATGATTTTACAATGTTAAAAGTGGTTACATCTGATAAATCTGTAAACATCAAAAGTATTGTTATTTTAAAGCTGGTGCACTCTACATATCACAATTAGACCATAGCAATCAACAGTTATGTATAAATGGGCGTGAATAATGAATGAGAAGTACTTTCGAAACTTAATACCGCTATTTATATTCGTAACCATGTGCAACTGTTGATCACCAATGGGTGAGGGTCACTTCACACAGTAGATGTTTCAGAAACAATTTTGGGATATTTCATACAATTACAACCCCAGAATACCAAATTGATACAGAAACTAACTATATACCTTTGAGAACATCAGAAATACAGAAAACTTGTATAGTTTAAAACTGAACTCATTTGAAAAGATGTCATGAAATGAAAAAGGCAAGGTATTGTTATATTCCAAGAAGGTTACTGGGATGTTGTTTTAAACAGGATTACAAAATGAATCCAAGAAGTTGATGAGGCTAATGCTCCATAAGACAATTCAAAACAACTTTAAAAAAAAAAGACTAGAGTGGATCTTCCCCTGCACTAATATAAAATAAAATATAAACTTACTCGAAATACTTTGGTATCATCAGTTGTGAAGAATTCATTCTCTAGATCAATGGCTTCTTCTAAACTTTGTAAGAATTGTTGTTGAAATACAACTATTTCTTGTATATTACCAAATAACTGATTAATTTCATTAGTTGTTAAAAATGTCTCCTCTCTTAATGGTTCTAAATATCTTTCATTTAAACAACTCAAATCCTGAAAAATAAAATTTGAGGTTGAATTGATTTATTTTTTGTTCAAGTACACAAATCTACTGTTAAGCTAAGACTAAGCCCCAACCACATACAGAACTGAAAAATTGATGTGAATATCTGTACACTATTTCACTGAGGATCAAAATACACCAGTTAGGGAATATGAATTATGAACAAACACTGACATTATATCATAGTTGTAACCTATAATTTAAATAATAAACATTTTGCTCAGACAATAATTCTCATTAGAAGAGATAAAGAAGTTTTCAGATTTTAAAGCTTAGTTTACCTCAAAACTCAAAGATACAAATAAATAAGAATTAAACGTTCACCTTACCTTGACATATGCCCTTTCTGTTTCTATTAATTCCATGATAACTTTTCTCATTCTCTGAGCATCAGTTAATGGTCTAGGACTCACTGGTCGTTCAGCTAGATCTTGTTTTGTTGGAGGATTACGACAAATAGCTGTTACCTGTTCAGCTCCCTACATAACAAATAAGGAAAAAATATTTATAATGCTTTTGGTATTTCTTCATAGCTCATAAGCACATGAACATTTTAATAGCTTGATTCTGAAAAACCAACAGGAAGATAAGGTCATCAAACATAAGAAACCTACTTTCATAGTCAATAATGGCACAGTATTTAACATTTGAATAAATAATAATAAGACTTTACACAATCTCATGAGTATGAAATTACTCTGTGTTTGATGAAAAAGGGGATTGACTGTCCAGCTAGAAAGACATACAATTTCAATTACTTACTTTAAGTAGAGCATCAATTTGATCAGAAGAAATATCTTGACTAGATTTATCCTGACTAGATTTTGATGGACTAGAATGTTTAGAACTTTCTGTATCTTCACCTGAAATATATCATTGTACACTCTTAATAATCAAAACATATTACAAAACTGTTTCATTATTACACTTCACATGCATGTCAACAATCTATAGTTGTATTCAGCACATAAACAGAACTACTCAGGATTCATAAGGAAATTAGGAAAACAGGATATTGTCTACCAGTCTAGCCTGAGGGAAACCTTCTGACATTGATATTTCCCAGATTATCTGTACCCTTTTACAACTAAGTTTAATGAAATAATGAGAGCACATGACTTCTTCACAGTCACAATACTTTCACATGCTGACCAAGATCACCACTTGTTTGACTAGAGAAATGACATCATGATTCCAGTATTCTAAATATCTGAACTACGGTCTATCCTTAGTATATAGTCATCCTTTATGCAGTCATAATACAATTTATTATCTTAAATTATAACACACATTCTTAAATCAAATTAATCTTAAAATATCAGAATCAGATAATTGTTATCTATGAAAATCCATTAAGAAACTTGAGGACTTACCGGTTTCAGTATTTACAGGAGCAGGAACTATCAAATTTCCAATAATTTTATCACTAATTCTAGATTGTGAGGGTGGGGGAGGACACACCATATTACTGATATAAGCATCAGCATGCTGTGTTATAAAGTCAGTATTAGGAGGTTGCGTACGAAATGATCTCACAGTTAAAAATAATGTTCGTGATTCATGCAGTAATGTTTCTATGTAAACCATATCTAATTCTGAGACTATTTTACCATTAATGACTAATAATTCATCACCCACTATTAAACCTGTAAATAATATTATTTAGTTTTATCTATCAACACACTTGACACATTTACATGTAGTGAGCTAAATATAATCATCAATCAGTGGAAAAACAAATGAGTTTTTACAAATTTATTAACACTCCTAAACTGTTGCATCTGAACACAAGCAAGTGATGTTAGCTATTATTGTCAGTATGTGCTAACAAAAAATTGTGCACACAGATAAAAAAACAAAACCATGCATAAGCTCTGCAATCTGCAAATGCTCTCAAAATCAAATCAATCAAAATCATTAAAACGTAAGCTCACCCTGTTCATCAGCAACTGAACCTTTAGTTACATCACAGACGTATACTTGTAATTCATCATCTCTATCATAATCTTCTGCTAACTCAGCTTCTACAGCAAACCCGAATACTCCATCTTTAGTTGTTTTATTAAGTTCTAGTTGAAATATACTCTTCTGACATACTTCTATAGCATCATATTTCTACAAAATATAGTTTTGAAAATGATATAAGGCTGTTGATTTCACTGTATTGACTGGTGAACAAATATTTCAATCATATCTTTATCACATGCGAGTCTCAAGTTCAAAGATCAATTCCAAAATTTAAAGCGTAATTTGCATAGTTTAGTAGTCTACAGTGAATATTGGTTAGCTCACTAACCACAGAAATATTTTTCAAAATGAGTTAACCTAATTACAGGAATTAAGAACTATTTAACCAAATAAAAACTACTCTATACATTTCTCACAGTATAGATCACAGGTGTAGATAAAATAGATACACAGATCAATCAATCAAATAAAAACTGTGTTCTTCAGTAGTTAAAGAATTTTTATGTTTATTACAATACTTCTCTCTGATCATGGTATAGTCATTTTAGTATACAATATGGAATTAAACAGAAGAATAATAAAGAAAACTTACCAGACGTTTTATAGATTCATTTCTATCAGGTATAATAAACCTATCATCTTGAGATCCAACTGGTTTTATACGAACATAATGATCTCTAGGATTCAGTTGTCTTTTATTACACACTGATTCTAATAAATCTTTTACTGCTGTCTGTTTATCAACTCCAACCAATAATGTCTGAAAATCATAAGACTGTACTACCACATTATACTGTTTCTAGTCTACTCTTATTGTCTACACTTACAACATCTACATCTTAGTTTCATTTAATCTGATTAAAATACAGCTCTACATATTTTGTTTCATTCATTATCAGTGAGCACATTTGATGGTTGTATATTTAAAAATTAGTCTTTTAGTTTAAAGTTGAGATTTTCTCAGTGTGTGATTCAGTCAGTTGGGGTGATTTAGTTTCCACAAACAAATAACTAATATGTTTGTAGATATATGGTAATTGTCTACTTACTGATTTGTTTTGACAAATCAATTTGTTTACTCTACATTATTATAAGAAAAATCCTACAGTTTGTAAGCAGAAATTTGTTGAGAGTAGTTGCCATGGACACTAAGAAAGTGAGAATACAATATAAAACCAACCTGTTTATTTGGTAATGTGACCCTTGATAAACTTTCCTGACCTGAAGAGCTTTCAGAATTTTTATCTAATAAATCAGTAGAATCCGATAAAATTCTTTCATTGGTTTTAACAACAGATCTGAAACAGATACAGAATACAGATATTACATATTTGTTGGTAAAGTGTAAAGAGTTGACTACTTCCTTCAAAAAGTGTACAGAGATGACATGAATTACTTGGAAAAGTGTACAGAGATGACATGAATTTTTTGGAAAAGTGTAGGCTACAGAGATGAAATGCATTCTTAGGAAAAGTGTAGAGATGACATGAATTTCTGGGAAAAGTGTAGGCTACAGGAGATGACATGAATTCCTTGGAAAAGTGTACAGAGATGACATGAATTTCTTAGAAAAGTGTAAACTGCAGAGATGACATGTGTTTCTTAGAAAAGTGTAGGCTACAGAGATGACATGAATTTATTGAAAAAGTGTAGGCTACAGAGATGACATGAATTTCTTATAAAAGTGTAGGCTACAGAGATGACATGAATTTATTGAAAAAGTGTAGGCTTACAGAGATGACATGAATTTCTTATAAAAGTGTAGGCTACAGAGATGACATGAATTTCTTATAAATGTGTAGGCTACAAAGATGACATGAATTTCTTATAAAAGTGTAGGCTACAGAGATGACATGAATTTCTTATAAAAGTGTAGGCTACAGAGATGACATGAATTTCTTATAAAAGTGTAGGCTACAGAGATGACATGAATTTCTTATAAAAGTGTAGGCTTACAGAGATGACATGAATTTCTTATAAAAGTGTAGGCTACAGAGATGACATGAATTTCTTATAAATGTGTAGGCTACAAAGATGACATGAATTTCTTATAAAAGTGTAGGCTACAGAGATGACATGAATTTCTTATAAAAGTGTAGGCTACAGAGATGACATGAATTTCTTATAAAAGTGTAGGCTACAGAGATGACATGAATTTCTTATAAAAGTGTAGGCTACAGAGATGACATGAATTTCTTATAAATGTGTAGGCTACAGAGATGACATGAATTTCTTATAAATGTGTAGGCTACAGAGATGACATGAATTTCTTATAAAAGTGTAGGCTACAGAGATGACATGAATTTCTCATAAAAGTGTAGGCTACAGAGATGACATGAATTTCTCATAAAAGTGTAGGCTACAGAGATGACATGAATTTCTTATAAAAGTGTAGGCTACAGTGAGCACAGATGAAAGCCTATTCAAAACATAATGGGTAAAATTCCGGCATTTTAGGAATTTTGTTGAGAAATTTATCATTAATCTAAAAATTACTACTCACTCTGTAGAAGAACCTTGTAAAGCTGTAGGTGTAATAGATCTAGCTTTACTAGAATTACCAGTAGGAGATAATAATCCACCTTTCTTAGATCCTTTACCATAAATATATGGTAATACAAGAGGTTTACGTGCACAGACTAGAGCATGGAATGACGTCACAGT